CGCCGGCCAACAGGCGGGCGCGGCCGCTGGTCCTGTCGCTTGGGCTGCGCCGCGGCGGAGCACACCTGCCGGCGTGCGGCGCCCCGAGCGCGCACGCGGGGGCAGACTGGCGGCGAACGCGCGCGACACTGCGCGGCGGGGCTCGGCCGCTGCAATACTGCGGCGCCCTGCGCTTGGATGTGATCACCCTCACCTTCAACCCCAGGGCTGAACGATCGATGTGAAGACGAGGTTGCACCTTGCCTGCTTTTCACAAACTTTGCCGCTCTTGACGGCTGCGTTGAGGCGCTCACGGCGACTTGTTGCCATGGGCGCGTGGCTCAGTTCGGGCGATGTTTGCTTTGTACCAATTGTTCCTTGCACGTCTTTTGTGCGTCTTGACCCCCCTTTTCACACCCAAACAACTGTCCTGTACCGGGCAAGCGGGCGCCAGGCAAGACTCTGCGAGCACGATGCTTGCTGTTGGAGCATCGGGCCCGGCCTGGCGCGCCCACCCACCCACGCACCAACTCATGCATGCACTGTCCCGGCGGCACCTGCGGGCAGGGGCAGATTTCCTGCCCCCGCACGCACGCCGCGGGTTTTTCGGCGGTGCGCCTTGCGCAAGCGGGCACACAGCCGGTTTACGAAGGGCCGTAGCAGGGTTGGGCGCGTCGCAATCCGCGACCCCTGCAACGCGCCTGTTGTCCTCCCACACGTGTGACGCAGCTCTGCATATTTTTTCTCATCGGTGTGCTTATGACGGTGCATGATGCTGGCCCTGTCATAGCGGATCGGGGCCAGTTGTGGACTTGGTGAAATCAAGCTCACGCTTGGCTGCCGAAGGCTGAATGCAATCAAGGACGCAGGAACAATTGCACTACGCAACAACTTGTCTTGTAAACCAATCAACATACAACTGCACAGCCATCAGGGTATGGGTGCACATGATGCGGGTTACACGCGTTGCAGGTGGACAAGGGATGCACATGAGTACGCCATATTTCAGGCGCACTCACAAGTGATGCGGGGACAGCCACAGCGGGCAGGAGTAGCCCTCCCGGCAACCAACTGTAGCCCAACAGGGGCTACGCTACTTTTGCCACCCAGAGGCACACTCCCTCAGATTGAGCAAGTGATACACGCAACCTTCAAAGCGCTCTGCAATATTGGGCAGGGTAGGCTGCTGCACAACGCAGCAGTGACGAACGCCCACGATTCAAATAAAGGAATATCAAACAACCCCATGAAGTACCCTCAACGGCCGAAAGTCAGGTAGGCACAAGAATGCCACACACCACCCATTGTCCGCACCCAAGGATGGGGTCAGATTGCAAGAAAAGGAGCCGGCAGGACACGCGCGGCTCGCACCCGCTGTTGGTAGATGATGCTATTGTACTCATGTGCTGCGGACGTGGGGGCGATACTCATACCATGCCCGGGAGCTTGGCGCAAGCAAACACGTTGGGTTTCTCCATGTTGTTCAGGTTGGTTGCGCGGAGTTGCAGTGAGTGCAGCAGCCTTGGCTTGGTTCAGGTGACGAGTCCCTGTTTCCCTGTGCCACGCTCGTGTTGAGCGAGGGTCGTGCGAGGTGGGTATCCGTTGGAGACAGCGAGAGCAGATCGAGAAGGGCAGGAGATGGTGCAATTGAGCAGAAACCCGCCGTGACCGGTAAACCTCCCCGAGAAGGACAGGGTTTTCAAGGAGGCGTTCTAAGTGTGCGCCAGAACTCAGCCCCGCGGCCAGGAAAAGGGGCCGGACGCACCGCAAGTGTTTGCGCAAATCATTCTGGCAGCCTTGTAGAGTCGAGGGCGCACGGGTGTGGCCGCACCCGACTGCTGAAGGCTGCGAGGGACACGACATCCCCCATGCTGACACCTCACCGCAAATGAATGCAGTCAACTAGTGCGCCTGGCGCAAAACTCCGCTTGCTCTCACACAAAATTGCAACGCCCGTTACACCCCCGCCCTCACCTCCGCAACATTTGCATGGGGTCTGTCTGCAGCTGCCACTACACCCGCAGCGGTTGTACAACCAGCCGTTGCGTGCTGGTCAGCCTTGCTGTTATCCGCTCCTCCAGATCAGCATCGTGTAGTGTGCTGTGCCTGCCAAGGTGCTGTCAGACAGCGCCATGGCAGACAGCACGCTCAGGTCAGCCAATGCGTCAGGCGCAGCCCAGAGCGCTGCGCAAGTGCCGGCTGCCGGCACTGTAACCTCGTGGTTTAAAACCGCCTGGTCAGGTGTCCGTACGGTCGCGGAGTGCCCTGATCACGCGGGCAGGCTGGATGCAAAGCCCGCAAGGGTGTACGCGATGCAAAGCGCACAGCCCTGTGCAGGATGGAATCCACACGCGAAATTCGATTCTGTGTGGGATTCTCCAGCGCAAAACAGATGCCCTGCTCGCTTGCTGTTGTGGCGGCTACGGCCGCTGTGATCTTGGTGCATCTTATCTGCGTATTGCGGGCTTCTAAATTGTGCCGTGTGAGTCTGTATCACAACGGGGATGGTGAAATGGCACAGGGTCAGCATAGGGTGTCTCTTCGGGTGTGTAAAGCTGTTGACAGTGACGCACTGATCTGATAACTTCATGCAAATGGGTCGAACTACTGTAGATGCCATCCATTTGCATGTGTCTGTGCGCATGTGAGGCAATGGTTGTGCTATATGTTGAGACGAAGAAGCATTCATGACCTAAAATCCTGCACAATGCTGGTGCCACCAATGTTTGCAAGCGACCAAGAATGAGACGGGACCCGAGCAGCGCCGGGGCCGGTCGCGCATGAATCATCAAACATCCTTGTGTGTGTATGTTACCACAATGACACCGTCTCATGTGTGTGACTGCCGAGTATACTCAGCTGGGGGCGCTTGCGCTCTTGAGTGCACACAACATGAGCAGCAGCCAGACCCTGGTCACTTAAAACAGCACAATGCGCAGCACAGCACAGCACAGCACAGCGCAGCACAGCACAGCACAGCACAGCGCAGCACAGCACAGCACAGCGCAGCACAGCACAGCACAGCACAGCACCGCACAGCACAGCACAGCACAGCACAGCACAGCACAGCACAGCACAGCACAGC